AGGTTGCAGTGAGCCGAGATTGCACCACTGCACTCCAACCTGAGAGACAGAGTGAGACCTTGTCTCAAAACCCCGCCAAAACCAAATAAATAAATACATAAATAACTATCCATAGTAGCTGCTACCTTAACTGAAAATACATTTTCTTAGCATCCTTTTTCCCTGCAATAGTAGATATTCAATTCTTATGAACACAGGGATCTTCCACTTCAAAAATAATTTTCACAATTTGAAGATGCAATTAATTCACATAGAACAGTCAATCTGAAGTCTAACAAATGACTGCCAAAAAATCTAAGAAAGAATGTCTCTAAAGCTTATAACTGTAATTAAGGAAGAATATATGGACCTTCTTCATCTTTAATAAAATCTCTTCCCTCTCCACTTTGCATTTATTTTTCTGTGTATCAGCTGTCTATTATTTCTTGAATCATTTTGCAAGTTCATTTTCTTATCCTCTATGAGTTTTCTCTTAGAAATAATGGACAGTATTTTCTGAAAGTTCATTATGTGTTTTATGACAATTTATTCACCTCCCTCCATGGTGTTATTTTACCTTCAACAGTAAGTGAAAGATTTTCAGCTTGACATATTAGCATTGAAAGAAAAGACTGAGTATAGTGTAAAACAGAAATTGCCTGGATGCCATATTGCTTATACATTTCTTTGGAAATGCTACCTTAACTTTTATTTATCGTTTGAACACTTAACAATTTAAGATCATTTACATTTTAGAAAAAAATAGAAGCTAGAGAACGAAACACTCTTTTTTTTTTTTTAAATCATGATCAGTAAACATCTGTTGCCTACACTCATGATACCATCCTCTGCATATTATGAAGTTTACACTCCAGGAACCCATTTCCCTTTGAAGAAAACTCCTGTAAAAAACTGCCTGTTCTGCAAACTGAGTGTTCATTAGGTCTTGTTGAAAGACAAGTCTTGGCTGGGAGAGGTGGCTCACGCTTGTAATCCCAGCACTTTGGGAGGCCAAGGCGAGTGGATCACTGGATTGCCAGAAGTTCGAGACCAGCCTGGTCAACATGGCGAAACCCCATCTTTACTAAAAATACAAACAAAAAATTAGCCGGGCATGGTGGCGGGTGCCTGTTATCCCAGCTACTCATGAAGCTGAGGCAGGAGAATCGCTGGAACCCGGGAGGCAGAGGTTGCAGTGAGCGGAGATCATGCCATTGCCCTCCAGCCTGGGTGACAAAAGTGAAACTAAAAAAGACAACTCGTACTAAAAGAGACAACAGAATTCTTAAATCTCTTATAAATATTAGTCCTGGATGTAAATTATAATGCTTTAAAAAGAATGGACAGAAGAAATAAAATCCAAAGAGACAAAGAAGCAAAACCTTTAGCAATCTAATACAATTCGCTATTGCTGAGAAATGATGACAATATCTTGATCAAGCAGCTGTGAAACTCTTGGAAATGATGTGCCTTGATGTGAGTGAAGTGTTCCAGAAGTGAGGAAAGAGGCCGAATTGTAAAGAGCAAATGGTGACCCCATTTTCCTTTGATATGGTTTTCCCAGGGTAAAACTTGTACTAAATAGGCAATAGCCTTTTATGCCACATTTCTAAATACCTCTTCCTCTCTCCCTCTCTTCTTTACCTCCCTCTATCTCTGGCATGCTTTTTCCCTGCCTGTTTGCTTTTTCCTTCTTTTTGAAAAACAAAAACAAAACAAAACAAAACAAAAAACAAATATGTAATACCATCAGGGACTAGGCAGTGTTCTAGGTGCTAGGGATATAAAAATGATTAATGAGATTTATGTTGAGTAAATCCATACATACACATACAAATAAACTATAGATGCTAAAGCTGGGAGCAAGCTTGAAGATAATTCTCATTGAATTTCAATATTACAGCTGATGATTTTGAGCCTCTTAAAATTAAATGTCTAAGATCACTTATGGAATTAAATGGTGAAAATGTGGTACTGGAAACTAGGACTTCTGGCCAGATGTGGTGGCTCACGCCTGTAATCCCAGCACTTTGTGAGGCCAGTGTAGGTGGATCATCTGAGCTCAGGAGTTTGAGACCAGCTTGGGCAACATAGTGAAACCCTGTCTCTGCGAAAAATACAAAAAATTGCCTGACTACAGGTCGTGCCTGTAGTCCCAGCTACTCGGGGGGCTGAGGTGGGAGGATCATTTGAGTCTGGGAGGTGGAAGTTGCAGTGAGCCGGGATTGTGTCACTGCACTCCAGTCTGGGAAACAGTGAGATTCTGCCTGATCCAAAGCATTGTCTCCTAAACCATGCCGACTTTCAATAATATGTTCCATTGTTTTTAAAAATATGCATGAATGCAGCAAATAATTTGTGATTATTTTAAAAATAAAATGCTTTTTCCATAAAACAGTGAGCTAATAATATTTTGTATTGAAAATTACTTTATTATTCATTCCTGAATATTACAAATAAGAGGATTCTGGTTTTCAAGTATTTTAAAAAGTCAGTGAAATGACTAGCCATGGAAAAGTAAAATGATTGAATCAATGTTTGAAGATAGACACAATAATAATTAGCACTAATTGAATATGTGTGTGTGTGTGTGTGTATATATATATGTACTGAACATATTTATCCTTAAACCTTGAAACATTATAAGTATTGCTAAGTCAGATTTATGAATAAGGAAGCTGATACTGAGAAATATCAATGACTTGCCACAAAGTTCATCTTTCTAGAGAATGATGAAACCAGTGTGGAAATTCAGATTTACATGACCTAAAGTTTTTTCTCCCATACTACATAACATTATCTCAAATTTATGCAGTGGGTATAATAGTGTCTCATGGAGTATCAAATAAATATTCCTGAGAAAAGAGAATGGTATTGTTAACTAAATGGCTACATGCAAGCTTGAAGTGAAGAAAATATTTTAAAAATTCTAAGCTGAACTATGCAATTAAAAACTTAGACTTGCTTTGACAATCAAAGATGAAGTTCTAAATCTCAGACACTTACTGTTTAAGCTTTTATGTTTTTTCCTGCTTAGCATGAAAGACATTATTTAGTTTTGGAAATATAAAAGAGAAAACTGGCCCCTCTAGTTAGGGCCCCATATACATCAGAGTATTTCATATTTATGAGAAATGGGATATTTCGACTGATACATACAAAGGAAATCCTTTCTAAATTTAATGTATCTATTTGTTCCTTATTGAAGCCTCTAATTATACCAGTAGGTTTAGACAGGTAGACATTTGCTAGAAAGGAAGGACTGAATCTTAATGAGGAATTAAATAATGAATATAATGACACCGATATCTAGTTGCCAGGACTTCAAAGCTCAAGACAAAGGCTGAAGTAAAGTTAGGTGACAGACCCACTAAAATAGATTGAATAGATGAGTACCAATAAGTGTACTGCAGGATTTTCTTACAAAACAGAAACAAGGATGCTATAAGAATAAAAGTTTATTTGTTTAATAGTATTTTTACTATTTAAAAGAGTACAAAATAAGTCATTGTTATTTATATTACAGAGAAAGTTTTCTTAAACTTAAAAAACTGATACCTTCTTTAGGACTTGTAAATATTGCTTTACCAAGTAATTACTTGCTAGAGAAATTATAGGATAGAAAAAACTTAAGGATTAAAAGTCGAGTATAAAAGATAATTAAAGATGATCCAGAGAAAAAGATAAACCATTTTTGAAATAATAATTCAAATCTGTAAAGTTCACATTAATGATCTTTTGAAATGTGTTTAAAATAAAATGTTGTAACAGTCTTTAATTCATTTTCAATGAATATTTAATAATTAACGTATAATAATTATTTTAGCTCACTAAACCTATCATGGTTGTTTCAAAGTTTTACTTTTATTGTTTTCTTTTTGGTTAATCAGTAGGATAAACTGGAATATGCAGAATGTTTCAAAGAATTTGTGTTTAAAGTTATAGTGTGAAATGTTTTATACACTTTATGCAAAATATGCGGCCTTCTGTATGGTTTGATTTTGGAGGCTAGGGAATGGTCTCTTCAGTCCTGCAAATGTTTCCTATCAGCTTTGTATGATAGAAAAATTTAATGTAAACTTAAACATATTTATATAAACAGTAAAGTTCCCATAGTAAATACTGATTGGAAAGGTGACTCAGTAGCCAGGTTAGTGTACAAATCATTGTTGAATATTTCTCTAAGGGAAGCTTTCAATTTGGGAGAACATGGAGCTCAAATGAAGTATTTATTGAGTGCCTGGTACACTGCTGGGGTTGAGGATATAGAGGTATATATAATTACTCTATATGTGTTGAATAATATGATACAGATCTTGCCATATAAGGGAAGTGTAATCATTGCTATGGCAAAGAAAATCAGAACACCAGAGGATCAAGGGGTTTGACCTAGTAGATAGGGTGGAGAAGGCCACATTATCACATGAAAAAGTCCAGTCAGTCAGGCAGAAGGTGGAGAAAGGACAATCCAGTCAAGAATTACATAGTTAATATACTAACTTGATGTTGTTAAAATTTTTGCTTGGTATTAAACATATAGTGAATAAATGACTGTTTTCTATATATACCCTCCCATAAAATATTCCATATAGAAAACAATTTCCAGAGAGGCAAAATGTTACTTTATGCAGGACGACATGTATGTATGTTTGTATTCACACATACACAGACACAATCATACCACACACACTCTATTACATATACATACATACAACTCCATATGGTATATGATCATATTATACATTTTAAAATATTTACTCCTTTGTGCTGCTGTATTAAGTCACCATTATTTTGAACACTGTGCTTTATGTGCGGCATACCGGAGTCTGCTGATAAGTTCCTGTTAGTTATTTCTGAGTACAGTGGCTCACAAGTATTTCTGAGCAAGGTATCTCCCCACCTGTATGGTGATGCTAGCTGCTGAGTGTTTCCCCTCTATGGTCTTGATTCCTCCATCTGTGGACCTTATGTCCTCTGAGAATGGCAAATGGTCATCTTCTCATGAGAGCCACCACTGTTACCAGAGCCTGGCAACAGCCATGTGCTGCATTCTCAACAGCTGCCCTGGCACAGAAGGTCTGCTGGCTTCCAGAAGAAGTGGAATCCATGATACTTTCCCCATTTTCATATTTCTCATGCTTTGGTTTGCTGCCATACATACTTTAATAGCTATTAAAATTTTTACTAACAAACAGGAAGAGGTGAGGAAGTGGCCAAGGAGTTAAATCTGTGTGACAGACCCCACCCTACATTCTGAACTGCCTTTACCTTCAGAAAATAAAGGCATTAACATGAGACCAACCTTCTCCTATGAGTTTGCTCCCATAAGGTAAGTTTAGTTTTCGAGGAAAATAGGCATCTGACAACAGTCCTCCACAGGTGTCTTGGCAGGCTTGTTCCAGTGTGTTGGAACCATAACAGTATATACATCTTAGGTTTTTTTATATTTGAAACTCATATTACTTTTTAATAATGCATTTTCTGTTGTAGATGTTTGCAGGAAAATGTTTTAACTTTGTTAATTCATTAACTTTTCTGTGTAAAATGCTGTCATTCACATCAGTTTTACAGTCAAGATTAATTTACATTCTGTTTACCCGATCCAGTTTAAAACTTTAAGTCACGTACGTTCACACCATATTATTTCAGTTTGACTCTGACTCCTACCCTAGGAAGTAATTTTGTTGACTTTCCAGGTCTTAGGAGAGTGCTAATAACACTGAATGTTATGTATACGGGCTTTGGGATTGAGATAAATTTTGGTAAAACTGTTGTCCTGACACTTGCTAGAGGTTTGCTGTTGGGAAAACTACCTAATCTTAGCCTGAGTTATAAAATGACAATGATAATAGTATGTAAATGATATTGCTGTGAATTTTAAATGAAAGATAATGTGGACAAATTCTTAGTATAAGGATGTCAACAGATAAACTCTCAAGAAGCAATAGTTGTTATTATTATATGTTGTTTCCTTAAGGTTTTTTTCCTTCTAAGTTAACAAAAAGGTGTCAAGATGAATTTGTTCCTTAAAAAAATGCCAAAGTCATGGTATGGATAAAACAACCTTCCTTGAGCCTGGTATGCTGCAACTCAAATCTTGAAAAAGTCTTATGGCCAACTTTCCTCCAACAGACATATTGTCTGCCTCTATAATAAAAACGCATAAAGAAAAGAACAAATAAAAATGAAAAGAAAGTCTATTTTTATCACCTGATAAGAAACAGCCATTTGGGTTGCTATGGCCATTTTAGATAAAGATGTATCTCAATGTTAAATTCCAAACTATTTTCAGATGTTAGATTTAGAATACGTGAAAGACAAAGATTTCAATTTCACTAGCCTGTTCAGCATATAGATACAGGAGTTTCTGTTTATCTGGTTCCACGTGGCTGACCTGGAGTTCGGGGAGCTCAGAATTTGATGCTGTCACTAAGAAAAAACTCAACTAATGAAATACTTACCCGGAACTGGACATTGTTAGATTAGGAAGTCATAGAAAGAAAGGACAAAGATTGCCAAAATACTAAATATAGGCTATTGAATGAAGATCAAGTATTTATTGGTTTCTTGGTATGTGTTAAGCCCACACCTAAGAGACACTGGAGGGATCCAAATATGAGCAAGACTTGGGCCCTAACTTCAAGGAGCACATGACTATGGATAAGAGTTAAGTAGATTTTACTTCTACAAGCAGAGGTTCAGATAGGTAGAATGAGGGAATTCTAGCAAGAACCTTGAAAGAGTATTTGTAGCATTCAGCAAGTTGGGACTGAGTCACTGAGGACAGTTCAGGCATGTAGATAGTTGAGACATGATTGGAATGTAGGCTGAGGTCAAACTGTGCAAGGTTAAGTGTATGATTTCTTAAAAAAAATTATACCATTTTTCAAAAGTCTGAGTTCAGTGGGATAGGGTAACTCATGGGAGCACAGCACTCCTTCTCAGAAAAACTAACAAAACCAAGTAAAATATAGAAATTATCTGTTTGAAGGAAGTGGAGCATTAAACAGGTAATGAAAAATAAAAGTAGAAAGGCTAACATGACAAAAATGAAATAAATCTAGAGAGGTTAGCTGGCTTTTGTCTGCTTATCCAAGGGGTATATGCCAATTCTGTGCATGGGCAAGAAACAGGATCTAGGTTAAAGCTTGGTGAGAATCCGTGTGTGTGTGTGTGTGAGTGTGTGTGTGTGTGTGGTGTGAGAGGGTCAGGGTGGGGACAACACAGGCTTGGGAGACCTCATGCACACAGTCAGTTTTCTTCTCAGTTTTTCCAGACACTGGAGCTGCATGGGGTAGAAGACTAAATAAGACTGGAGGGTCATGCTTAAAGCAGAGCCAGAGCCTTATAGGGGTTCAACTCAGCACAGTCCCTGCTCATATTAAGGTGACCAACCACCACTCTGCACATGGCCCTCTGTATCTGTGGATTCTGCATTAATGAACTAAACCATCTGCAGATCAAAAATATTCAGAAAAAGAAGTTCCACAGTGTTCCAAAAAGCAAAACTTAAAAGGTTGAAGCAAAACTTCAGTAGTACACTGAATCCATGCAAATGAAGTAATGTGTAGGCACTGTATTAGGTATTATAAGTAATCTAGAGGTGATTTAAAGTACACAAAAGGATGTACATAGGTTATACGCAAAGACTACACCATTTTATATAAAGGACTTGAGCACCCACAAACGTTGATATCCATGGTATCCCTGGATATTGAGGGACAATTATATCTGCCAATTAGAAGGAAGGGCAAATCCTTTATAATAGAAGATAAGACTCTCTAGGCAGGGTTGTCCAATCTTTTGGCTTCCCTAGGCCACACTGGTAGAAGAATTGTCTTGGACCACACATAAAATACACTAATGCTAATGATAGCTGATGAGCTAAAAAAAATTGCAAAACACATCTTATAACATTTAAAGACAGTTTATGATTTGTGCTGAGCCACATTCAAAGCTGTCCTGGGCTGCATGTGACCCATGGGCCATGGGTTGGACAAGCTTGCTCTAGAGCAAGGCTTGAAAAACTATGGCCTCTGGGCCAAATGAGCCATGACCTGCTTTTATACACTATTCGAGCTAAAACATTTTTTACATGTTAAAAGGTGGTTTAAAAAAGGAAAAAAAAAAGCAAAGAAAAATATGAGAAAGGGACTATGTGGCCTACAAAGCCTAAGGTATTTACTATCTGGTTAATTCACAAAATAAGGTTTTCTGACCTTGTTCTAGAGCTTTTATACTTATTTGTACACATTTGTTATTCAATTAAAAAATGAAACAAAACTTATTCTTGTAAAAGAAAGGGCCACATGACTGAAAATCAAGAGAGAAAACAAACAATTGTAACAGATACACAGGTGACTCAGACATTGGTGTTGGCTGAGGAAGATTTTAAAATCACTTCATTTAATATGTTCAAGAATTAGAGAAAAAGCTGGAAACACAGAAGGAAAAATAGAATTTTTTTTTTAACCAGAGAAAATAATCAAATGGAAATTCTAGAGAAGAATATCTCTATTAAGAAATTTTTAAGTAATTTAATACATATTATGGCAACATTGGTGAAGTGTAGTACAAGACATTAGAAAACATGCAAATTCAATTGCAAATAAAAGAGGTGGAAAATGTAGAAAAGTGTTTAAGACATATAGAGCAGAACTAAAAAGACTAATATAACTTAAATTGGAGTTCCAAGGGAGTTCTTTGTGAAAGGAGCAAAGCTCTGGAAGGTACACAAAAAGAGAATTTTGAAGATGTATAGAAAAACTTTCCAAGTATTTGGCTGAGTTATAATCTGCATGTGAATATGGAAAACGGAAAACTACATAAGGCCTGAGAAATTTCCTGAAAAGGAGTAGGAAAAGCAACTCTAAGATATTGAAAAAATTATTATAATGTCTTCATAGTTTCAAGACATTTACAGGTTATACCTTGGTTTATTGTACCATGCTTTATGGCACATCACAGATAGTGCATTTTTCACAAATTGAAGGTTTGAGGCAACCCTGCATCGAGCTCTTATCAGCTCCATTTTCCCAAGAGCATGTGGTCACTTTGGATCTTTGTGTCGGCATTTTTTAGCAATAGATACTTTTAAATTAAGGTATGTTTGTTTCTAGCATAATTGCATAATAAATAGCTGACAGTATAGTATAAAGGTAACTTTTATATGAACTGGGAAACCATCAAATTATGTGACTTGCAACATTCACTTTATTGCAGTGGTCTTGAATTGAACCTGCAATATCTCAGAGGTACGCCTATATTATAAACATATCTTAATTTTTAAGGCGGCAGAGGAAAACCATAAGCACAAGAAAGAGAGTAATGGGAGAAAAAAGGGAAAATTCTGGAGATAAAACTACAACAGATGACATGAAAAATACACTGGATGGGACTGACAGCAAATTAAATATTGCATATTAAAAATATTAGTGAACTTGAAGACATAGCAATGGAAAATATTGAAAATAAATTATGGAGAGGCTAAAACAACACAAAAATAAATAAACAGGCCATCAAGTAACTGGGTACTGTCAATTAGTCATAGATGTATGTAACTGAAGTCTCGGGAAAGGAATAGAAAAGAGGTAGGCAGAACACATTTGAAGAACGAATGGCTAAAAAGTACCTAAATTTTCAAAAACTATAAACTCGCAGATTCAAGAAGCTCAATGACCTCTGACAAAAGAAAAATAATAAAACTACCCCAAAGTATATCTTGATCAAATAGTTGAAGACCAGCAATAAAGAAAAAATATGCCAAAGGAAAAAAGATGTGTTATCTACAGAGGGCAAATACAAGAATTATCACAGATTTCTTATCATAAACAATGCATATAACTAGCTTATTTTACATGGCATAATGTCCTCCAGGTTCAGCCATGCTGTCAAATATAACAGGGTTACCTTTGCTTTTAATGCTAAATCATATTCCATAGTATATATGCCACGTTTTCTTTATCCATTTATCCACTGATGGATATTTAGGTTGTTTCCGTATCTTGACTTTTGTGAATAATGATGCAATAAACATGGGAGTGCAGATACTCCTTTGACATCCTGATTTCAATAATTTTGGATATGTATGTAGGAGTGGGGTTGCTAGTTCATATGGTAACTCTACATTTACTTTTTTGAGTAACTGCTATTCTGTTTT